AAACTGGCGAAATGGGAAATGGCGAAATGGGAAATGGCGAAGTGGGAAAATGGCGAAACGGGAAGACACCCATTAGGCCTGGTACGGTGATGTATTATTATTGTATAATGATTATTATATGATATTATATAATATTATTATATGATATTATATAATATTATATATACGATATTTATTATTATATTAATGTACCTGTCTGATAAATTAGCAATCGCGATTTTATATTTGCTAACTACACCCACGTCGTTAGCCAAGCGTAACTGCGTGGGGTTGAACGTGAAACTGCTTCAGGACATCGACCCGTGCATCTTCACGCGCGTGCCAGGCGCGATCCTGTGTGGAATACGAAACTTGCACACCGTCGTAGTGGCAGGGCGTAATAATTATGACAGCATACTACTGTTGTACAACACTCAAAACTCAGTACTCCCCTCAAGCAGTCGGATCCCGTGTCAAACACAAAAATTGCCGATCGGCCACCATGGATACGCCACTTGCTGGAATGGCACAATTACACGACACGAGCAATCTTACTTCTAATGACTTCTAGACGTCCACAAGGCATCTCTCTTGCGTGCATAATGCAAATTAGTGCACTCTAATTTCGAGTTTTGCCGAAAAAAATCCAAGGCCTTTTCCAGAGACGAAATTAAGTTTTAGTTTAATAGACCTACTAATATTAGTTTTTTAAGTAACAAATTTAATAATACTAGATTCCCTATTATCTACTTCTGATATTAAATACCTTGCTGGCTCTGATCAACCCTTGCGGGCAGTGGTTTCTCGTGCACTTATCTGGGACAAATACACTAACGTATCGAATGTCAAAAATCTACATCCTACAACTGAATTTTTTATTTCAGCTCTACAAATACGTTTTACTCCTTGATAATTGTGTCTACTCTACTCTTTCAATAAATGTTATTGAATTTATCAAACATTTAGACAAAATGGCGACAGTGGCGTCTGTTCGGCAAACGCCAACAAGATCATTATGTAAAATGTTCACATCAACTGGCCGAGCCCATGTAGAATACTCACATAAAAGGCCGTGAGTATAATGTAACAGTTCTACATTGCTAGCAGCGCTCTATTTGAAATACTGACGTCGTTGCGCGATGTGCGCGATGACAGTATTTCACATACTGGCGGACGGATTAACTGATATATACCATATACGCGCGCGCGTCTGTGTGCGTGCATGTATACATGTGTGTATATATAAACTGTAATTACATGTCAACTAGAAGAAACAGGTGCGTCGTAAAAAAGTGCTCTCTGGAATATCATCTCTTGCTCAAAATTAATGGTATAACCACGATAATACTGTGTAACAATTAAACATGTCAGAATGAAGGATTAGGAAATGATCACTCTTCATCGGTAAATAGAGCTAATGTAATGAAGATAACGACTCCAGCGGTTTACACACGTAACAGCTAGCAGAGTCTAGATGCGTAACAAACAGATAAAAATACTCCGTCGCTTTTCTTTTTCGTGATCTTCTGCAAGAGTTTCTCATTCAGAATGCAAACTCGGGGATGGGGAGGCGCTGTAAGAATTAATAATTAGCTAGGATAGCGGCAGCTCGATGCATCTTCGCGCGTTCGCTCTCGCGGCGGCAGCGGCAGACTTTAACGCTAGTCCACGGTGAAGGGAGTCACTTGATACATGTAGCAGCGGTTGCACACTCGTACGGGCTTCGTGTGGCCGTACTTGGGAAGAGGTACAGAATTGCAGCTGCACCTCGCACAGAATATCTGGAAAGATGCGTGAAAACACTCTGCTACAAGCTATGCCACGGCAACGAAAGAACGTTGCGGAAGATCGCGCATCGATTTAACTCGATCGATAATTTTTCCCACTTGGAAGTTTTCAAAATGCAGCCCTAATACACTTTGCTCACACCTTTCTTATCCTTGATTAGTCAGATTGAAAACACCATCATTTACGTAAATCTATGCAACATATCGCAGGTTCAATGATGAAACATGAATGAAAGAATGATGAATGAAATGATGAAAACCGTAGCTAGATGCAATGATGAACAGAATAGTAAGAATAGTAAGTAATTACGACTGGAGGACACACAGAAGTCAATCTTCGAGTACACTAGTGTTGTCAATCGGTTGTAATTTCGTAATCGATCATCGGTTGGACCCAAGTAACCGATGATCGGTTACAATCGGTTACTCGGGGTGTTGAATGCCTGCGTGTGCGTAACGTCGTGTGCATGTATGTGTGTGCAACTGTGCATGCATGTACTTGTTTAGCCCTGTTTACTGTTTGTTTTACACTGTTTACTACAGTGTGTATAATACATGTATGTTAATAAAGGATAACTTGTATAGTAGCGATGATATCTCTGATTCTGATCACTTTTCGAAGTTTTTATTTGACATTTATTTCAAATTTTTTTTTCTTTTTTTGTTGTCGATGAAACCGATTATGGATTTTGATAACCACAGTTCGAGCCAATGTTCAACCGATGATCGAGTATAATCGATAATCGTGACATCACTAGAGTACACGCTCACCTTTCCGCAGTTCCTACAGTGATGCCTGCGCCGCACTACGGTGAACATGGCTTTGCAAGAGACACAGCACGAAGATTGGTCATCCGGTACCCAGGGAGGCGGCTCTGAAGTGAGGTAACGTCACACGTGGGGCTTATGTTGGTGCCAATCATCCACATACTAATTATAGTCACCTCGAATCACAGTGCCAATGTCACATGTTATTTGGACGAATGGCGAATTAAATAGCAATCTATTCACATTAAATAATGCACGCCTCGTGTACTCTGAAAGTAAAATAGGTGGCGAGTACACTTATGCAACGAAAACTAATAAAATAAGTGAGGAAAGCAGAATCCATGTGAATAAACGGATTGGTGACCATTACTTTAAGATGTATACAGTTCAGCTGCAGTTTCTAAGTAATCTTGTATGAATAAATATGAACAAAACATAAATGCTGTAAGGAATCACCTTCAATGGTTGACCTCTGCCTGGATGGGCTAGGCTGGCTAGGGCTCGAGAGTATTGCTTCACTCTGTGTGCCTATCAACACCAAATAAAATACAAGAAACAAGTGATTAGCAATAGATTCATCCAAATACGATCTTTGCGGCAGTATATACACCAAGGGAACCCGAATAAGACAGCTCTCCTGATGAGTCCCCGCATGTCATTAGTTAGTTAAGGTAGCCATGAATAGCACATCCTTTCACCAGGTAGCACCACCTGGCCCACCACAGCCGATATGAACAAGAGCGCACATCTAACAGTAGATATATACCGCGTTCACACGGTCATGATTTGGCTCGAGCCAAATCAAATGGGCTAAATTTGGCTCGGGCCGGTTTGAGTCGGAGCGTTCACACGTACGCAAGTGAATACTGTCTGTCAAATTCAAATTCAAATAAATTTTATTGCACAAATATCTCACAGATACTTTGGCAGTATGTCGCGAGATGGCGTTGTGTACGATTCAGAGTGTTTACTTCCGTTCCGAGTTCAATTATCAATCTTGAAAACGTGCATCCTGATCAAATTTTTCGAATTTTTATACTGTTTTGGACTTTATTTCGTCGAAGTACACGTTCGACACTCGCGGCATCTACCGCTTAACCGATTCTACCGCTCTACCGCTCGCCGAAAGCTGGTGCAAAAATTTGGCTCGGGCCTGGTCCGACGTTTTCGATGAGACCAGATTTGCTCGTGCCAAATTGGCACGGCCCGAAAAACCGTCCAAGTGAACGCTCGGCTCGAGCCAAATTTGGCGCGGGCCCAATTAGGCTCGTGCTAAAAACGTCCGTGTGAACGCGCCTATAGAATATGGAATATCAATATTCTATATCTTTGCATCTAACACTTGAGTTTCAATCCACCAACAGCGAATGTTTTCAGGGGCAGACCCAATGGGGGGGGGGTCTAGGGGTCACTCTCCCATTATTTTGACCACAGGCTCTGGATTTTTCAGAACAAGAAGACATTTTCACAACTCGAACAGAATAAAGCAAGGGAGTCAGAATACTCCAGATTGCGACCACATGTGTATGTGTGTGTGTGTGTGGGGGGGGGGCTCCCCGAATTCTCTATACGCTCCACATTCACCCCCCCCCCCCCCGCGTCGCGAGCGCGAGGCGTTCCTCACCCCGTGAAACCCTGAGTCGGCTCTGCAGCAGCGCGGCGACGACCGCCTCCTCGTCCGCCGCATCCTCCGCATCCTCGTCGTCGTCGCCGCGGTAACCGTCGCCGGCGCCGACGAGAGGGTGCGTCGAGTTGATCTCGAACACCCACTTGAGGATGTTGCGCAGGTCGCTTGCATAGTTGGTCTGCAGCTGGTCGGCAACACCTGCGGGAGAAGCGGGTGATGGAGACTCTTGTAACGCTACTAGGTGAGGCGTTGGGGTCAGAGCAGACACATACATACACATCCACCTACGCGGGGGGGACGACGGGAGGAAACAATCGCGAGTGTCGCGGGAGAAGCGGGTGATGGAGACACGCGAGCAGCAGCCTACACGCGCGTATCGAGGCTAGGTGAGGTGCGGGGGACAGACCAGTTACATACGTACTGAGATTAGGTGAGATGTAGGGTTGGAGCAAACACACACGTACTGAGACTAAGTGAGATGTAGGGTTGGAGCAGACACACACGTACTGAGACTGAGTGAGATGTAGGGTTGGAGCAGACACACACGTACTGAGACTGAGTGAGATGTAGGGTTGGAGCAGACACACACGTACTGAGACTGAGTGAGATGTAGGGTTGGAGCAGACACATACGTACTGAGACTAAGTGAGATGTAGGGTTGGAGCAGACACACACGTACTGAGACTAAGGGAGATGTAGGGTTGGAGCAGACACATACATACTGAGACTATGCGAGATATGGGGGTCAGGGCACCCACGCGGGTACAAGAACAGTCGCATGGGGTGGGGCCGTGACACAGGGGATGCGAAATTGCGAGGGCAGCCGCGCACGTGTGCGGGTGAACGTACCGCAGATGCAGACGAACAGGCGGTGTACGAGGTCCTCGATGCTGTGGAACCTAGCAACTAGTCGAGTCGTGGGGATCACAGAAGATACATACGTAGTAGGACCAAGTGAGATGCAGGGTTGCAGCAGACACGCACGTACTGAGACGAGATATATATGGGGTCAGGGGAGGGACGCGAGGGGTTGGGATTATCACGCGAGGGGTCAGGGCAGCCGCGCGCGAACGTACCGCAGATGCAGACGAACAGGCGGTGTATGAGGTCCTCACTGCTGTGGAACTTGGCGCGCACAGCATTGCGCATCGATATCTCCGCAGCCTGCATCGCGAGCGCAATCTCCTCGTCGTCGTTGCACTCGGAGTTGTAGCTGCTTGTGTCGCCGCTGCCGTAGCTGCAACATACGCTTATAGCTTTATAGAGTTGCCGAAATTATCCAACAGTCGGAAACTACCAGTTTTATTTACAGCCCTCTGCCGTAGCTGCAACATACGCGCCGGGGTTTCGAAAATAAACGGTAGTCTGTAGTATCCTTAAGTTATTTCATTTTCCTACAAGTTGTTATCACTTCATTTTAAACATATCACGCCACCAATTATCAAATATACTTAAAACTAGTACATGATAATATAGACTATATACTTAAAAGTAAACAGGACGTTAAGCTTATTTTGAAAATTAAATGTAACTTATTATTAGTTAACGAATATAAACGGGTTTTTTAACAGACCAGTTAAGCCCGGTGCACATTGCCGAACATTTTGCTCAAAAACATTATCGTAGCAATGTTCCATGAAATGTTCGGCAGTGTGCGGTGAAAAAAGTCGCCGAAAATTTGTTCCGAACAATGTTTCTGAAGATCGGAAATGTTTGATATCTCGAACATTGTTCGTCGAATGTTCGTCAATGTGCGCTGAATGTCGAACAATTCTAGGAACATTTGTAAAGTAGTAACCAATAGAGGGCACGATATGTGGTCACATGATTTTTGTGCCCAATCATGCGCCGATCACGTGACTCTTTACAACACAGCTACTAGACGGCGCCACGAGGTTGATCGCTGGAAAATGTTCGGCAATGTGCGCTCAGCAATTGTTCACCCGCACATTGCCAGACAAAAACATTTGTTCGGACAAACATTTGTTTGGGAAAATGTTCGGCAATGTGCGCTCAGCAATTGTTCACCCGCACATTGCCAGACAAAAACATTTGTTCGGGAAAATGTTCGGCAATGTGCGCCAGGCTTTAGCGAACGCTAGTAACAGCAGGCAATGGCCCCCTCCCCAGTACGTGTCAGCGTCACCATTAATCCAGCGTCACCAGCGTCACCTGTGGTGACTCCAAGCAAACATTGCTTGCGTAGACCTTCAGATGTCAAAATAGCAGACAAGAATGTTACGCCTTGAAGAATGTTATACGTATGAGGTGGCAGCCGTATTTTCCCTCTCACCGCGTGCGCATGCTAATCAACAGATAGTTTTCGCAGCTTGGTGACAGCACAAGTGACAGGAACATATATCAGATGAATTGCGCGAGAAATCACGTGCGACATTTTTTAAATCATCGACGGCACTTTTCGCGAAACACCACCGGAATTGACATACTCAAAAGAGGCAAAACCGACGCGTTAATGGAATTGTCACAGTAATTGATTTCGAAAAGACCCCACCTCGACCTCTGGGGGTGGGGGGAGGGGAAACGAAGAATGCGACTTCCACCAGCTAATGACCAAACAAACACACAGTTCGCCTTTAGGCAAGTTGAGTGGTTGGTGTGGAAGGGGGTTGCCCCCTTACACTGGGGCGGTCAGGGAATATTTTGAAATTTAGAGGCTATGAGTTCACATCTGATGTCTTCTGGAGGTGCAATTATTCACAATTTACAAAGGATAATATACCTCATTTTTAATGAGAAACTTTTCAAATTGACCCATGTTAAGCATGCATGCAGAATGCAAAGTGCATTGTTTATAAATAATTATACTCACAAACTACACTATCATTGAATTTAGAGCCACTCGGAGAGATAAATTCTGCATATTTTAAAACCTTTGCTTAAACTTTTGTTGGCAGGACACACACGGGGGTTCAATCGACCCTCCACCCCCCAATATCTCACCGGAGGATTTGCACGTTTCTCAAAAATGACCCATGTGGTCGGCAAAAAAATGAAATGCGCGGATCCGCGGAAAATTCCCATGTCTGGCTCCCTGTACACCCCCCCCCTCCCTCGTACACGCTCCCTCCCTCACGTACCTGTCTGTGCCCCCCTCCCCTGTATACTGCTCCCTCCCT